AGGAAGGGTATTCCAAAAGTTTGTCACACAATAAGTGAAAGATTTATTGTTACTACTTGTTAAGATTTATTGCCCCTGTGAAAAATGATCCTATTATACATATTTAGCCACCCACACTCTTTTAACTTATGTGAGATTCTGCAGTACTTTCGAATTCCATAAATTAGTCTTAAGCAACCATTTTTGGACGCAGTATACCCGTCTTCGATTATCCCCAGTTATGCAAGCACCATAGACCGAGTCATAGTGATTAAAATTGGATAAAATCAAAGAATCAGTCAGTAATCTTTTACTGTTCTCATTTAATACATGCTGATATGGATAAAGGGATTTTAATACGCAATATGATTTCTATAGTAGCTTATTTATATGTGAATTAAATTTTAAATCATCATCTATTACAAACCCAAATTTTTCACAGTGCGTACGTGTTGTAGTTCTTGATTATTCACACAAACTTTAAGATTGTCATTAACAAATTTCCTATGATTACTGTTACCAAATACCATCACATTAGATTTGCTGTAGTTTAGTTTTAAGCCATGCGCCTCAGAAGTGTCAACAAGTGATTGCACATCAGAATTTATTTTGACAGCAGCAACATTAGTCTCGGTGTGAGGAAATGATATTAATAACTGAGTATCATCAGCATAAGCATGGTATTTACAATGCTTCAAGTCCCTGTAAAACATACTACTATAAATGATGAATAACAAAGGACCACATATACTGCCCTGGGGAACTCCTTTAGAGACAAATTCTGGTTTAGATAATAAGCCTTTAACTTTCGTATGTTGTATTCTTTTCAGAAGATAATGTTTCAAAAAATCAATTGCCGTCTGACCGAGACCAATGTAGTGCATAACGTTTAACAACAAATGATGATTTATTATATTAAATGGTTTGGAATAATCTAATAATATCATTGCATGCATATTTCCTTTGTTGACACTCCGCAACACACCGTCCCCAACATCCATTAGTACCGTATTGCAACTATGACCTGGTCTAAACCCTGACTGATTATCAGGTATGATGTCATAAAGCAATAGGTGTTCACGTAACTGAGAACAAACTATTTTTTCTAGTGTTTTAGAAAGAGCAGGTAAAATGCTTATAGGTCTAAAATCAGTATAGCACATAGCAGAGTTAACTTTTGGCAATGGAGTGACTATAGAAATTTTCCAATAGTCAGGGAAAACGGCTTCGAAGAGATATGTATTAATGATATGCGTAATCATATCCAATAAGAATACCTCTCTTATCACTCCTGGAATACCTCTCCATCATCCTGGCTATCGTTTAATATCTTTACGGCTATCATCCAGGAATCCCCGCAACATTTAATCAGATATCCCTCAACACCGTTCCGAACATCCTTTAATATTACCTTTGGTACCTCACATCATCTTGCCAAGATGCCAACGAATCTCTTAAAATAGTCAAAACATCCTTTAATTATGTCTCTAATACCGTCAACATACCGGGTATCCCTTCTTATCACTCCTGGAATACCTCTCCATCATCCTGGCTATCGTTCAATATATTTACGGCCATTTTTCAATGTTGCTTCTATACCTCAACATCGTCCCAGACAACCTTCAATATTATCCCTGTCAGCTCTCTCCATCGTCTCAAAGATCCAATATTATTCTTATATTGTGGGAATTTTGCGATATTATTTATAACAACCCGAGATATTCTTTTGTATAATATCTGGTGCCTCTCAACACATCCTATAATATTGATTTTGACAACCACCAATATCGCTCCGAAGATCCGAGTACACCATTTCACGATTACCTCAACATCGTCTAGGCTATCCTTTAATATCGTTCTTGGCACATTTTAATATCATCCCTCTCAACATGCTCCAACATCTCTTAATATTATCTCTGACTCTTCAAAATCGTGCCAACCTGCAATTCCCTACAATTTTATATAATCATCCAGGCCATCATTCAAAATCGTCCCTAACACAACTCAACGTTATCCCTGATGTCTTTCAATATCGTCGCTAAAAAGCCTCAATGTCATCCCAAGCATCTTTTAACTTTGGCCCGAACTTCTGCTAATTATTCACCAAATACTCTTAACATCTGGCAAGATCTGATACATTTGAACATCGATCTTCGTATCACTCAACGTTCTGTATGGCCTCGATTTGTACAATTTTAAATAAGATTTTAAGTTCTACACATTTTAAAATAAATTTATGTTATATTGGATATATTTAACGCTAAGATCTCGAATTCTTTAGAATGGCAGAATCACATAAAACTTTCAAAGTAATGTGTGATGGAAAAGTCCAAAAAACACAACCAATTTTTTGTTGTTTCCTACCAATATGAATTTTTAATCACTTCACTTTTTTCCAAGCTTCATGATAAATTGACACAATTTTCAATAATATATCTGTTATTTACATTCAAATAAACAAAGTATTTAGGCGCAGTGAACGAAATTTGAATTATATTAATTTTTCGCGTTTAGTTTTGCCATTTGGCTTATCTGGTATTTCGGTTTTAGAGTTGGATGTATTGTTGCCGAAAGATCAAAACAATACAATACTAAAGTATTGTTTTGATATCAATTCTACTTTCATTACTGCCAGACAAGGTGCGTCAAGGCCTATAATGTTTTCCGCTGCTCATATATCCGACACATTCTCCGTATTCCTATTGTTTATTGAGCTATGAAACGACGAATTTGTATGGCGTTCATTTGATTGCTTCTATTAGCTGATTTTGACGTTGGAGTTTTGTTATAGCATTTGCGATTGAAACAGGGAACAATAGAGGAGATAAACTATTCACTTCCTTTTTCGATAAATGGCTTTAATGATTACACATTCCAGGAAAGAGCACATTTCATCAAAACCAGCAATATGTGAGTAAATCTTTAGATTTTGTATTAAGGCTAAATAAGTAGAAAAACACGTGCTATGATTGTTTCACAACGAATGGTTTAGTACGTGATTTGAAAAATATACAGTTGTTGGTACGATTTGCAAGAATCGGAAAGAAATTCCACTATTGTTGCTCAGTATGAAGAAACAATCAGGTCACACCAAGTTTATTTATAACCACAACCTTTGAGAAGAAATGTCGATTTATTGCTTTAACTCTTTATCTATAATTTGACAATTCGCATTAAAACCGATGATTCCAACCATTCTCAGAAGAAACTGGACGTAATATGGTTAATGAATGGATTTAATCGATGGAAGTATTGATCTGTTTTGTAACATACTGGATATTTCTGCTTGTAATACATTCGTTTGGTCGACTAAGTTGCATATCGATTGGAGCGTATTGTATATTTTTGGTCCATGCAAACATGTTTTTCTCATTCAACATTGGATGCTTCAAATTCACAAAGTGTATGTGAAATACTTTCGAAATTGCTTTTGAAGCTCCGATTAAATAAAAAAGCTGTTGCCTCAAAAACTTGGGTAACCCTTTTGAGCAAGATCTTCCAAACCAAGAAAACGCTGGTTTGAGTATGATTTGAAATTGTTAACAGCCTTTTGGGGAGAATTATATAAGGAAGACCAAGGCAGCGTCGCAACGATTAAGTTGATTTCGTAGACGCAACAATTTTTATAATAGTTTTTTTATTTTGTATTTTCCCTTTGAGTTTTATCCTTTTTGTTTTATTTTATCGTAAATTTCAAGTTTAATAATACTCTAGTACTATTAATAATTTTTTATTGGATTTTACATTTGACAATTAAACGTAAATTCTGAAAAAAAGAAGGAACAACTTCGAATACGCTTCTGTTATGTGCTGGTTCACTCGATTTTTAATTACGGGAATGTTTTGTACGGTTCATGTATTGATGGTATCTACAAAGCGAGATTTCAAAGAGTTCAAAATGTTTGTTTACCCTTTATCTACGGTATCTGGGACTAACAGTGTATCTCACAAACGTTGAGATGGACGGGATGGTTGAACATGTCAAATCGAAGAGCTCTCCAATCCGTTTCCGTCAGCTGTAAAGTCTAGACTTCTACATTTCTACCATATTTATTTAAGGAAATTAGTTTATTCTTTTAAACACAATTTAAATATATCATAAATTATTATTATCAAAAAAAGTTTCATAAAATCCAGTTTATGGGTAAATAGCTTTATCGCAAGAGACGTACTTCTTAAGTTAAACACAGGAAAATCCTTAAACATGCAAACAACAGGAGTAATTTAGGCAGATTTAGCCACATAAAGTCAACAAAACTTTAACTAGAAGCGCAAGACAAATGAAATAAATAATACAACTGTAAAGAGTAATACGAAAAGTAAACGAAGATTAAAAAAAAGTTTCATTATACAAAAAGAGATTTGAACATCCTTTGACAATCGCTTTAGCGCTGCTGTAGAGATGAATGAGCACGTTTAAAAAAATAGAAAGAATCGTTGCGAAAGAAAGGAACAATGTGAAAATCACGGTAAACCAAAAGCGGAACACCAAACGTCGATAGATTTTATCGCGGTATTTATCGAGAGTGTTTTCCAGTAATAGTTTTTCACCATCCGAACCTTCAAAGTCCGCATAACGGAAACCTTTTTTTTGTGTCGATGAAAACCATTGGACTGGGACACAACGATGGAACCGTATCCATGGAAAAGGGGATAATTGGTGTTTCGCTATTTCGATTTTTTATTGCATCTGTACGGGTTAATGTATCGTGTTTGTATTCATGTTGACCGTATAATTGTAGATTAAATAACCAAGGCTTTTCGGCGCGTATGTCGTTATATAGGTCAATTTTGTTGCCCAAAAAAAAAACATTTTTGCTAGGAATTTTTAATTATTTTTTCGGCGAATTGTGCCACAACAAAATAAAAATAACAAAAAAAATCTTTTAGATCGTTGTTAAATAGTTTAATGTATCTCGTTCAATCGCCTATCTTTTTAATTCAACGCAAAAGGGAATAAATAAACAAAACTATATCTTTTTCCCAATTTAATTAAATGAAATTCCATTGACTGAACCTACCTTTTTCAGATCTTTGTTTGGCTCTCCATCGTCTGCTTTTCTTTTTTCCGTTCCACCAGTAAGCTTTCCTTTGTCTTTTTCGCCGATCTAAAAATGAAGGAAAAAAACAAGGTTTATTACAACAGCAAAAAAAAATCTAAATTTTAAGTTGCTAACGCTAATATTAATCCCATATGTATTTATAGCGTACGATGTGATTATATGACCCTGACATTTCGATTACGTACATACCAAAAAGTTAGTGAACGAAAGATTTAAAGGTCAAGGCAAAAATTTAAGTCAGAAAAAAATTATCATATAAGGATTTAAACGTTCTTAAATACAGTAAAACCTCGATATAGCGGATTAATAATCCGTTATATGAAAAATTTTTAATTTGCACTTTACATTTATAACTAGGACGGTAAAATCTAAGAGAATATGCCAGGAACAAGTGCACAACTCGCTCGTGCACTTGCGGGATGTAGCACATGCCCGTTCGTGACAACAATTAAAACTAGAACTAACACTAGACCTAGAACTAGAATGTTTGTAGTTCTAGGTCTAGTGTTAGTTCTAGTTTTAGTTCAATGAAAATATACAACATAGCGATATCTAGTGCTAACTAGCGCTACCTAGCGTTGTCACTAGAACTAACAGCTAGAACCAATTATAAAGTTTGAAGTGTGGTGATTATTTTTTAGAATAATAAAGTATTTCTCCATTCTCTTGATAACTTTGAAATGACCTTCAAATGTAGATGATAAAGAATTTTTTATTCTTTGAATTATTACAAAAACAAAATTTGATTTAAACAATTCTTTGTGTATAAAAGGTTTTAATTTTGAATTAGGTCTCAAGTTTACAAAAGATTCACGCAGACTAATAAGAAGTTGATCTGTGTCTATCGAAGAGTTTGATTTAAGAATGAATTGATTTAAGTTTGTCCAAACACAAGCTCAGCAGCAGAACATCCCAGATCTTCTTTAAAAGAAGATCTGAGTCCTAATAAAATTATTGGAAAATCGTGAAACCACCTTTTGCTACTTCCACGTGAAATTTCTCCAAATTCCATTGCTTTGCGGATGGCAAGCAGAAGCAGGTTGTGTAGCACCAAGTAATATGGAAAATTTTTAAAAAATTGAAACCCAAATTGTCGCCCTTTGTCATGAGTAATTGTGTGCGAAATACCAAATCGTGAAAAATAATTTTGAAAAAGTGTATTTGTTATGATAGTCGCTGAAGTCTCGATAACTGGAAATGCTTCTGGCTATCGAGTAAAACGTTCAATAACTGTTAAAATGAATACCCAGAAGAAGGAGTAAGAGGACCAACAAGATCTATATGTATGTGTTCAAATCTTCCTTGAGGAACATTTATATGCTGTATAGAAGATCTAATGATACATAATCTAATCCAAAGATAAATGTCTTTACTAATGTGAGGCCAAAAGAAACGCGTCTTTAATAAATGATGAGTTGCACAGATATCAAGATGTGAAGCATTGTAAAATTTTTGGAAAATTTGTTTGCGGATTTTTTCGGTAATATAAATGTTAGGAATGGATGTTGAGATATCACACCAAAGAGTTATATCAAGAAAAGTTGACTTTTCTTCGACGAGTGTAAAATTAGTATTACCTCGAGATTGGGCTTGTAAGAGATGTTGTAATTGAAGGTCATTTTAAATCAGGATAAGAAAAATTATGGGATTCTATATTATTGCCTGACATTGTGTCTGCAATAATGTTAGAATCGCCTTTAATATACCTGATGTCTGAAGTGAATTGAGATATATAATGAAGATAACGTGTTTGTCTTGGAGTTTTATCTGATTTGGAATTAATGTAATTAACTAATAGTTTGTGCTCAGTGAAAATTGTAAATTGGTTACCGTATAAAAATTTTTTGAAATATTTAATAGATGAATAAATAGCTAAAAGTTCCCTATCAAATGTTCAATAATTCATTTGACTAGGTGATAACTTTTTTGAAAAGAAAGCGACGGGTTGTGCTGTATTATTAATAGCATGAAACAAAACTTCACCCATACCTGTATTAGAGGCATCTGTTATTAATGTCAAGTTGGTTGAAGGATTCAAATGCGTGATATATACGGACTGAGATAAGAAATCTTTAGCACGTGAAAAAGAGTTAGTGTGCTTATTTGTCCACACGGTAATGTGCTTCTGATTATTTTTGCAGAGAGTGGTCGAAAGAGAATGTAAGGGTCCAAGAATTTCTAAAAAATTGGGAACAAATCTGTGATAGAAATTGATCATTCCAAGAAATCTGTGGAGTTCTTTCAGATTTTGAGGTTGAGGAAAATTATTTATTGCTTCAATTTTTGATTGAGTTGGACGAGACCCTTTGGAAGATGCATGATGGTTTAAAAAATCTATTCAACTTACTCTAAAAATACATTTAGACGGTTTAATATTGATTCCAAAACTATCTAATCTTTCAAAAAGTTGTCGAAGGTCAATTAAGTGTTCATTTTTGTCGTTACTGGCAATAGGAATATCATCCAAGTAGACAAAAATCAAACTTAAACCGGAAAATAAATAAACGTTGCATTTTTTAACTCAAATGGCATTCTAGTGAATTCATAGAGACAAAAAGGGATAGTTTTGTAGATATCGTCTACTGGTATCTGATGATACGCCCGTACAAGATCGATTTTTGAAAAAATTGTACAACCATAAAGAAATCTTGTAAATGAGGTAATGGGTATCTGTTTGGTACCGTTAATAAATTTAATTGACGATAGTTGCCACAAGGACGGCAATCTTGATAATCTTTTTAGGTGCCATGTGTAAAGGTGAAGCAACAGAAGAAGGAGATGGTCAATAAGTCTCTTTTTTTTACATTCTCTTTTGGCGATTAATTGATTTTGAAGAAGGTGAAGATTTTTCTATCAAAACTTTAATTAGTTTTTTGAATTTGAATTGGATGTAGCTTGTTTATATTTTATTAAATTATGGAATTTACACCAAGTACCTTCGCAACTATAAGTTTTGGTACCATATGTGTTGTGAAATTTGCAAACATTTGAACGGTTTCGAGAAGGAGTACGATTCTGCGAAGGAAATGATGAATTGTCATTGTAACAACAATATGAACAACACTGACGTTGTAAAGAATTGATATTTTCAACACTCTGTTGTAAGTTATTTATTTTGTTATGAGTAGATGTTATCGATGTATGTTGTTGTGTTACAGTTTGAAACAAAGTTTGACAAGTTGAAGTTAAATCACTAATGGCTTTTAATAAAGGCAAATCATGCGTTGAATGTGAATTTTGGGAATTTCAGAAACTTTTAACCTAAGTTAGACCTAGAACTAGAAACGTTCGGGTTTAGCCGTTCATCTCTTAAGACGGCTGAACTCGAATGTTTCTACTCTTAGATCTAGTATTGATTCTACGTTGAGTTCAAGAAAAATATGCAACAATCTAGTGCTGAATAACAACTAGAACTAACACTAATATTAAAATTAAGATTAGACTTAGAACTAGAAATATTCGTGTTTAGCCGTCTTAAGGAACGTACGGCTAAATCCGAATGTTTCTAGTTCTATATAGGTCTAGTGTTAGTTCTACTTTTCGTTCAATACAAATATAGAACAATCTAGAGTTGAATCACCATTAAAACTAGAACTATCTTTTTGATTTATACATCGTATAGACAACTCGAGGAATACCCCGAGTTTATCTATTAATAAAGAATAGAGCAACTTAGGAAATAACCCGAGTTGGATTCTATCTATGAGCGCTAACATTTATATTTAAATATACTTATGTATTAAATAAATAATCTTAATAGTATGACTTAAAAATATTTTGTCGTTTATATCCGAAGTCCGTTCTAGCGAGGTTTTACTGTATTAAGTAAATATTACAACATTATTATCGTCCAAATTAAGGAAAATAAATAATAAATAAGTTCATTGACGAGTCACTTGCGCATATTTATCTCTTAAAAAAATCACAACACGTTTCATAAAAAACCGGCTGAATATAACGTCGACCAAGTAAATATCAAAACAGCATTTGATGTTACGAGACCGACTCAATCACGATAATGTCCAGTAACTCGTTTTTGCTGTTGAATATTTTCATATACGTCGTGGGTACTGGTGAGTTTTCAAATAATTTTTTTTTTGTTAAAACGGGTTTGGCTTGGAAAAGCGAAATGCTTTCAGTCTAAAAGGGTCAATGCTCTCCCACGAGTGCAGTCAAGAATTACATTCGGATCATACTTTATTATCCCACAGGTGCCTTTTGCCCCTATATTATAACTCGAAAAGAATGGGAGGCGGGATCAAATGAGGCAAAACCCATGGGGACATATCCCATGACCCATGTGATCGTACATCATTCCAATACACCGATATGTTTAACAAAAGACGATTGTATGACGGTCGTTAAATCACTTCAATTAAGACATAGAGCAGTCAACAGATGGCCAGACATCGGATACAATTTTCTGGTAAGTTTAAGTTTTTAATTAAAAAAGTTTAGTGTGCAGCGGCATCGGCAACCGGTTGCTGTTCTCTCGGTTCTCATCTAAATTCGCTGTCGCGTACGACACCCATTCATATAAATTAGGAAACCCCAACAATAACCCAGAGACACAAGCTACTCCTGGCACGATCCCATGAATATTGAACTATTTTGGGCCAACCCGTACATAATTTACCCCAAATTACCATCCCACACATTTTCTTCACCTCAAATAAAACCTATTTGCACAAAATTTCATTTTCTTGTCTAGGTAGCTCAAGACGGAAACATATACGAAGGAATTGGTTGGCATCATTCAAGCGAAATAGTTCCGAGATACGATTCGTATAGCATTCATGTCGCTGTTATAGGAGATTACACATGTAAGTTTAAATTATCAACTTTAAAATCGAAAATTAACCTAATTTTAATTTTAGCTTCTTTGCCAAATGATAAAGCATTAAAGGCTTTAAAAGATTTTATTTATTGCGCGGTAAAAAGAGGATCTTTACATGAAAATTATAGATTATTGGGACATCGTCAATTAGCATCGAAAAAGTGCCCAGGAAAAGAGTTTTACCAAGAACTTCGCAATTGGCCACAATGGAGTTCATACTAATTTATATTATGTGTTATTTATTTCAATAAAAAAGTCGTATAAAATCTTTTCCGAGTCATTTGCTGTTATCATCGGGCTAATATAATAACGGGAGAGAGTCGTTTCTTAAGCAGTAACACCAAGAAATGTCCAAGCGATGACCTATTTCCATGAACAAGCAACTGTAATTTGCATAAGTAAGATTAGAACGGTGGCGCCACGACGCCACCGCTGTTTATCATTGAGGGTGGATAAAAGAGGGTTAGAGATACTTCTGCATTAGCGAATTAGATGGCAAATAAATACGCGTAAATTATTCAAATTTTAATTCAAATTTTAATCTAGGCCCGTGTTCTAATTAAAATGTACAAAAGGTTGCCAAAACTTCATTCCAACACCCTCGAAGAACTTTCTACAGGATTAATACGTCTTCTGGTTTAAATTTCAACAAGTTTCAAGATAATAAATTAACAAAAAATTTGTTTTGATAGCTTAAGCGTGTTTTAATTCAACTTTAAAGTTTACTAAACAAAACAAAATAATTTAATTATGCGTGTTCTTCCGATAACACGAAAACCACATACATAAAACCACGATAAGATTTATTGGTTTACAAGCGACGCAAAAAACGTGAATTGAATTAAAACCTATTCATTTGCGCGCAGCACTACACACATACTCATTTTTGGACATATATTTTGCAATATTTTTGATACATTGATACTGATCGACATTGGTATTTTAAGAGGATATACTTTAAACAAAGAAACATCGATTAGATCCATATCTATATCTTGTATATAAAAGGAGATTCAAATATCTTAAATCTGTTCATCAAGATGAATACTGTAGCAGCGGTCGTTGTTTTCTTAGGAGTTCTCTCTTTGGCAGCTGGTAAGTTTTTTTTTTGCTTTTCTTTTTATGTTGAGACTTAAATTTGGTTACTTGTTTAGGCCAATCTTGTCCTAGAATTGTAACTAGGGCAGAATGGGGAGCTAGAGCCGCAAGTACATCTGTTTTACCCACTTTCCCACCAACCCACGTTGTAATCCATCACACCGTTACCGGTGCTTGCACTACCATTGCTGCTTGCTCTCAAATTATGAGAAGCATGCAAAACCACCATATTGATGGAAACGGTTGGGCTGATATTGGATACAATTTCGTTGTTGGTGGTGATGGTAACGTTTACACTGGTAGAGGATGGAACAGACAAGGAGCTCACACCGTTAACTTCAATTCAAGAAGTATTGGAATTGCTTTCATTGGAACCTTTACTTGTAAGTTATAAGTATAAAAATCGAGTATTTTAAAAATAATATTATTTGAAGCCGGTAACCCAACCGCTGCCGCTCAAAACGCCGCTCAACAACTTATCGCTTGCGGTGTCGCTCAAGGACAAATTGCAAGGAATTATAGATTGATGGGACATCGTCAAGGAGCTGCTACAGCTTGTCCAGGAAACACACTCTTCGCAACCATTCAAAGATGGCCCAACTGGACTTCTAACCCTTAAATATTTTGTAACACAAACCATTTCTGATATTATATGATTTATTGACAAATCTTAAAAATTTGACGTTTAATAAAAAATTGTAATGTTGCTTACGTTTATTTAATCAAATATAATTAATAATTTTGGTCGTGGTGAGAAATCCCGTATTTCTATTTCAACATTATATAAGGCGACTAATATTAGATAGTAATTTGGTCATTATGGAAAATTAGGAGAAACAAGTAAACTTAGGAAATCATACATTGAATTGTTTACTTAAAAATAAGCACAGTGCCTAGTAGAGGAGAAATTATGGGAGATTGTTATCGAAGAGAAGAGAAAATGTTGTGCTCCTAAATTTACCCATTGGATTTATCCTCTTCACTGTTTCTTTCATCACCGAAAAACTTGTTTTCTTAAATTACTTTAGCTTATTCTTATATTCACTTTATGCCTTCATCTCAATTATCATTAAGCAATTATCTTTTTCTTGCTGTCAAGTGTTCTCAATAGGTTCTTCATAATGATATCGTAGAAGATCGGCCCACAGGCCGATCCTTAAGAATAAATTTTCAGTAAACATTTTGTCACCATTCGATGTTAAATTGCATCTAATTATCGTGTGTCTGTTATGGTAGTAATTTCAGAAACACCTGAAGAGAGTTTCTAGGCATTGTAGCTCCTTCAACACTGTAAAGGGATATAAGTTACTAAATGTGCCTGAAACGCCGATCAGCACTAGTTGCAAGATTGACTTTATTCACATGCAAGACGCTATGTCCTCCATAGTGCAGAGTTATCTGATATCGAGAAAAGTGTAATCGTCGGATATCACAGAAACAGCCGATCCTTAAGGAGCATATTTAGCGAGTCGAATTACCCAAAATCTGTAGTCACCTTTCTATATTATTCAGAAATGAAAGGTGAGTGATTGTCGGAATGTTACTCGAGTTGGCAGATCCACAAAGCTGGGGGATAGAGACCGGCGAGTGCTGTCCAAAGTAATTCGAAATCACTACACTCAACCGATGGACCATATATGCCAGGAATTTCACTAGGCATCTGAAAGTATTGTTTTTATAAATACCATACGTAAGAAAGCATATCTGCTTGGTTTTAATGATCGTGCTGCTCCCTTTGATCATTAAGTAGAGCTGCTCAGTTAATCTATTGTAGAACACGACGACAGTGGACCGTAGATCAATGGAAATAGGTTCTCTGAAGCAACAAATCAAGGTTCTCTACCCTCTCTACTCTCTACCGTGTAGGGCATGGATTCTGGAGAATGTCTGCTGCAGAACGAATTGTGCCAAAAATAAAGTTCGACGGAGATGGGTTTATGGTCAGGGTGCGTTTCTCGTGGTATTAGTGACCTTTGGTCCCAATTTCTAGTAAGCATAACGCTGACGCATACTGCACAATTTTAGATAACAATGTGCTTCCTACGTTATAGTAGTACGTTACGGAGTAGACCCATGTTACTTTCAGGATGACAACGCTAGCTGTCATGTTGCGAGGTCCACCATTGATTGGTACTGTAACAATGGGGTTACCCGAATGGATCGTCCTACCTGAACCGCAACCTGAACCTCAACGAGAACCTTTTTTGAATTAGGAGATGCAACAACCACCCAAAATCGAAGGAAGAATTTATGTGTCAACTCCAAGCAAAGTGGAAGAAAATACCATCATACAAGGACTTGTGGAAAGTATGCCAAGGAAGGTGGAGGCTGTAATTGCCCAACATGGAGGCTCTACCAAGTACTGAATACAAATAAAGTTTATATCACTTTTTTGTTGGTGACACCATTCTGATACGCTTATTGTTTGTGGTGTAGACCATCTAAGGTTCTTTCTGTGATTCAAGAGTCGTCCGCAAAACAGTCTTTCAAGAATAACACCTAATACACTAAGATAACCGATTAGCTTGTAAGATAATGAAAGCAATGTATTTTTATCAATTCTTTCAATTCTTCCATTATTTATGTCAATGCAAAGATACAATAAAGTGTACACTACATCGTGATCAATCCGGTTTGCCTCTTCATTCACGTGGTACTGACGATAATGTAAAGATTGCATTTAAAAGAAGCACAGAAACGGTAACCTAATACTTATAATGGAAGTAAATGAAGAAGGAACAAATAAACAATTTTACAGGGAAATAATCATCTACGCAATACTAACAGAGAGATCAAAGAGATTGTGTTAAAATATAATAGACTAATAGAAATTATAATCGCACAATCATCAAAAAGAGGATTGAGATCCATAAATAGATCCGGTATAAAATATGATTTTCGTCATTTAGAAGTGTAGCTACGAGGAGGTCGTTCTTAGAACTTTTTTTTGTTTTTTTTTTTTGTTTCTAGAACTTGAACTGAGAGATGGAGTGGGATGCAGAATTGTTAACAAACACGGAAATTAGAAAGGGAAACTCACTACAAGCAAAAGACGGGACAGTTATGGTAATTTTCGCAAACTTAAGCAATATTACAATGAAAGGTAGTATAAAAGCGCACATTGAAGCTCATTGCGCCCTCTCGAAACAGCAAGAAATTAACGTATATTTCGAGGTAATTGCACAAAAAGTTACAATAAAAGTAGCTTTAGTGTAATTTTCCCGAAAATTTTCTTCTGTCCATTGTTAATATTTACTACACACCTATACGACGTATGAGATCTTTTATATTTTGCAATAAAAATAAGAAATTGGTGTTCTTCAAATTTAGATTTATCAGTAAAAATTATTTTTTTGCCCAATTTCAGCGCTTTTTCCCGAAAATATTCATAATGTTTTTATTGACAACAACCTTTGTTGTAAATTCTTTTTTCGTGCTTCTTTATTAAGTTGATTTAGTGTGAAAAGCGATGTTATATTTGTATAAAAAGATGTTGCAACAATAATGCATGTTGTGTGAATGACTAAGTTTACTTGTGTTTAGAAAGTTCTTAATTAGACCATCAGTTGTTGTTTTATATATACTAAAATATTTACACTTTGAAGAAAAAAGATACCATCTATCGCATGTGTTGAAATTTTGATTTAGAGGTGGTTTGGTGCAGAGTCAGTCTAAGTTATTTACTTCATCTTTCCTAGTGGTACTCTTTGATTTCGATTTGGAATTTTTGTCTATACTGCTATGTAATGCTCAATTCAGTGAAGGTCACTTAGGAGAGTGAATGACTTTAATTCGAGGTTGTGGACAGTTTTGTCATGTCTATCAATTCCTGTCTTGAAACAAAGGAAATACTCTAAATCTTAAAACATATGCGATAATTTTCATGTACTTAGTATTATAAAAGCTTCCATAAAATTAGATAATTGTGGGAGAAATATATACTTTTCTGCAATTTGAATGCACCAAATACACACGGAAAATTTTCCAATACAACCGAAATCATTGCGATGGTTTGTTACATGTTGTTTCGCAGCAATGTACTGATCGATACCCTAACTATGTCATAAATATACCACATAAATTTTATGAATAGTTTAGTTCTACAGCATGATGTATTGTATGGCATAATAAGTCATTAGGAATTGCTGCATATAACAGGTTGACCCAAATTTACCAAAAAGGTGTAACTTTTAACCCAGTCATTTTTCAGAAAACATTCAAATTTTTGTAATTCTTGAAATTTTATATACAAATTTAAGTGTTAACTCTTCAAATAGTTATAATATAGAGAAATGCACTAAAAGTTATGTACACCTAGTTGTTTAACTCAATGTGCACGTGTACCGGGGCACTCTACGGATTCACAAGCATATTGAATGGCAATTGGAACACGGAGTCCAATTTGCAAAACTAGATTCAATTTTATGTGATATAATACAATTTAACTTAATCAAAAATTATATAATTTCTTGTACAACATATTGACTACTGTTCAGCCTTGCCACATGTTCATCATCTTAATCAACCAGTTTTTTTTCTTTCTCATTCAACATTCTCATTTATGTATTTTCAAATGTCAACCTCTTGTTTAACTGACCAAATTACTATTTTTTTGTATTATTATTTGGTCAAAAAGCAAAGTGTTTTAAATTCCTTCTTTGCCTCCTTCCATTCCTGGAATATATTTTTTTCAATGATATTACCTCATATTTCTCTCTTATCTTACTGTTTTCGCTGAGATACTCAATTTTTTAGTTTTCCTCCCTCACCACTTTTCTACTCCATTTAACTATCAACCATCACATGACAGGAAGCGACTCAGTAAATTATTGCGATTATTATTTTGCTCCAAACAAATTCGTCATCAGCAATGAGTTAAAACTAAGAGTAAGTCCTGTAAAAGGAGATGCCATCTCTCTTGTTACAATGTTATTAATGTTGCAAATTTGCTGTGCGGAAAAGAAACCAACCAGAAATGGAACATTTATTTAAACAGAATGTTAAACAAAATATTCGTTTGATTTGCTCAGAAGAAGGAAAAAGGAATGTTACTATCTATGAAAGACCTTAGCAGCAAATAAAGAACGCTTTTTGGAACATTGGCTAAATACAACAGCATATATAGAATGGTTAATATGAAAACATCAGAATTTTAGACAAGCCATTTATTGTTCACAGTCCAAATTTAAATAACATTGTCAGATCTTTTCCAATGCGATATCTAGGCTAATCGCTTCCGTTTTATAGACGACTGTGTATAGTAGCTGCATAGTTTGTTTTAATTCCTTTTTCTCCCATCTATTTACTATTATTGCCAGGTATGCTATTGCAGCAATACACAACACCTGGTTATCTTGTATACAGCACTCATTTATTTGACTTATCTTGCATTCATACACCTTCTGATAATGTTTAAGAAGTATCCTAAAATTCATTTATTCTGTACAGCTTCGATGATATCACGTCATGGCTCTCCAAACCATATTAGCAATGAATATACAAGGTGACGAGGACCAATTACCAATTTGTAAAAGTCGTGGTTTGGGGTGGTTCAGTGGAGGAAGGTCATTTAACCCGTCATTTTGTAGCAACCTAAGATGGGAAGTTTAGTTAACATGACCTGTATTCAAAATAGTTCGTTTGTCGGCGAGGTATTTTTTTTTTAGTAATAATGACTCACTTTCGCTCCATGGGTAGCTCTCTCGAC